AGAGAGAGGCAGAGAGAGGGAGAGAGAGAGAGAGAGAGGAACACCAGGGAGCACAAGCAGGCACACGCACTTCCCCTCGACCGACGCATCAGACGGAGCACCGATGACGCGCTTCAGGACGCCGAGCGCCACGGCCCGGCGGAAGCCACCACGCTTGCGCGGCGAGTAGAGCCACCCGTGCACCGTCATGTTGATGGAGGCCGCATAGGCCGAGGCCGAGGGCGGGACGGCCAGCTGGTACCAGCCGGTCGGCGAGGGGACCAGCACATGGGGAAGCTGCAGCGACCCGGGCTCCCCGACGGCGAATGTGGCAGCATCAGCCGGCAGGGCGATGCCCAGGGCAGCAGCCACCGAGGGAACGGCCAGCCGCGGGACCAGAACCGGCCCGGCGGAAACACCCTCCGGGTGCCAGGGCCCCAGGGGCGAGGTATGCTCCTCGGAGCTCGAGGAGGAGGAGGAGGACGAGGAGCCCGAGGGCCCCGTGGTGCCGGGGGCCGTGTAGTCGCGCACGGTGTACACCGATCCGCCGAAGCCCTGGTCGATGCTGGCCGAGCAGACCCCACACACCCCGGACCCGGCCCACTCGAGGACCTCGCGCAGGCCGGCCGCCACGACCTTGGCATTGACCATGCTGTAGGAGTTGTCCAGGCGGATGGTCAGGCGCCCGCGGGCCGAGGCATTCAGGCAGAAGGCCCCGCCGGCCGGGCCATCCGACGCAAAGACCAGCGTCGGCGGGACCAGCTGCAGCCAAACAGCCGAGGAGGCATTGTTCGCGGCGGCGGCGGCGGCGGCCGCGGCCGCCGGCGTGCTGCCAGCCGCCGGCACAGCCCCGGGCCCGGGGACCACCTGCGTATGCAGGCTACTGGTGGAGGACCCGAGCGAGGCCATGCGGCCGGCCAAGCTGGGACTCGCCCCGCCTGGCAGCATGCCATCAGGGCTAGACCCTGGGGGTCGAGGATCCGAGGCACGGCGCCCGGGGGGCATCTTGCCGGCCGGACTGCCGGCGGCCGAATGGGCATGGTGATGGGATGGCTGTGGGTGTGATTGCTGCCGCAGCATGGGCGCATGATCGCCCGGGGTGGTCTGGGGCCCGGGCGCCTCGGCCCCGGGCGAAGAGGGGTCCTGGTCAAAGTGCTGGTTGCTCAGTTGGGCGAAATAGTGCTCGGCTTGGGCTTCATCGCCGCCGGAGGCCTCCCAAGCGGCGACCACGTCGCTGGCCGCCAGCCGTTCATTGCTCCCGACGCCGTGGTACACATCGTGGCCAAGGAGCAGTTCCGGTGGGCCGGCCTGCTCCACCAGCACGGCCGTCGACTCGGAGCTGGCCGTTGGCTGGAGGTCTTCCTCGGCCAGAACCCGGGCAATGGCCCGGCTGGACACCGGAGACGCTTTGGACTCGAAGAACAGGGCCCCGGAGGCGGAGGATTGCACGGTGGAAACCCGGCCCAAGGGCGGAGCCGGCCGGGTGCCAGGCCGAGCCGGGAGCAGTGGCGGCGACCCGCTGCCGGGGGTGCTGCCAGCCGCCGTCGCCGCCGCCGCCGCCGGCGTCACGGTCGCAGCGGCAGGCTGCCCATGCCCGATGGCCGGATTGCCGCCCAGCAGCGAGGGGGCCGAGCCGGAAAAGCTGCCACTCAAGCGCGAGGGCACCGGCGAGGGGGGCGCACTGCCGGTGCCGACCCGGGGAGGGGAGCCCGGCGACAGCAGCGGCGAGTGGGACAAAACCGACGCCGGGGCCGGGAGCACGGTGCGCGGGGCTTGGGGATACTCCGAGCCGCTGGCCGCCTCCAGGGTGGCCTGGTCTTCGGGCGCATCGTCCAGCGGATCGAAGCGGACCTCCACCACGAGGTCCTTCTCCTCGAGGGTGGCCTCCCAGCGGAAGGTGCGCCGCAGGTGGAGGTTGAAATTGGCCTGGGCCGTGGTCATGGGGGGCGAGGACCCGGGCCCGGGGGAGCCCGGTGCCCCTGCTGCATGGACATTCAGCGAGGAGCTCGAGGAGGCCACGGAGAAGCCACGCTCGGCGGGGCTGGCAGCCCGCGAGGAGGGGCCCCCGGTGGTCGCCATGCCGGAGAGGCCCGGGCTGGCCGGATCGATCGGGCTCCCCACGCGAGAAAGCCCGGCACTCCCGAGCGAGGACAAAGAGCAGGAGGGCTCCAGGAGGAGGGAGTCCGGACTGCGCGACTCGATCCCGGGCTCGGAGATGACGGTGGTGGCGATGTCATCGGCCAGGCTGTTGGCGGCGGCCTCGGTGGAGGCGTCCGACTCGGCCCCCTGGCCGTGGGGGGTCCGGAGAACCGGCTGCGAGCAGGCGCCACACTTTTGACACTGCCCCAGATCCACGGCCGGCGCCAGCACGGGGTTGATGTCGAGGCTGACGATGAGCACCTGCCCGGCTGGAACGATGTATGTGCGGGAGCTGTGGGCACATGGCCAGGCCATTCGGGCGAGAGGGGGGAGGCGATGAGGGAGATGCCGGAAGGGAGAGGGAGTGGGTCATGTGTGAGAGGAATGTCGCGTGCGCATGCGCGGAGAGTGAATCTGCGAAGAGAGAGAGAGGGCGAGGGAAGGGCGAGCAGGCGGCACACGCACACTCGGAGCCCGGCCAGGCGCAGGCCGCGGCGGATGCGCGGGTCAAAGCCGGAAGCCGAAGCAGCCGCGCTGGTGCCCACGGCCGAGGGGGAGATACGAGCGGCGGCCGCGGTGGCCGGCCAATCGTCCTTGACGATGCAGGCATACGTGGGGAAGAGGTCGATCAGGGTACCGGGCGAATCGCTGGCGGCCAGGCTGGCGGCCGCGGCGGCATCATCGCGAGGGGGGACGCCCCCGGTGACGGCAGAGCCCCCGGCGGTGGCGGTTCCAGAGCCGGGCCCAGCCCCGGCGGGCTGGAGGTTGCTGCTACTTCCGCTGATGACACCCAATGCACGGCGCCACATGTCGGTGGAGGCGCTGGTGAAGGCCGACAGGGAGGCCTGGCCGGAGGCGAAGGCGAAGTCCGGCGCAAAGACCGGGGGGAGGGTGGCGCGCGGGGCCTGCGGGGTGGTGGCGCTGTCGAGGCAGAAGCCGCTGTCCAGCGGCAGGGGCGAGTTCCAGGAGGACCCGCGAATGTTGGACCCGGTGAACTCCGAGTGGGGAATCCAGAGGGTGGGCTCGGTGGCACGTTGTGGCCGAAGGTGCGGGGTCAGCCAGTCCGAGGAGGGGGCTGCGGCGGTGGCGGCAAGCGAATACCCGGGGGCCTGAGCAGCGGCGTGCTGGTCGGGCGGCGGGAAGAAGACGACCGGCGGGGCGGTCGGGGTCTGGCCGAGGGGGGCGGCGGGGGCGGCGGGGACTGCGCCGTGTGGCGTAACCGGCAGGCTTCGGAGGAGGCGCGCGGGGAGGATGGGGCGCTGGCTCCAGGGGTCTACCAGCAGAGGCCCGTGTGTGGGGGTGGCCGAGTCACCGCTGCTGGTGTATGTCCCGTGGAAGGCGGCACAGGAGAAGGCGGCCTGCTCGGTGGCGGCGGCGGAATCGCCGGACAGCTGGGCCTGGAGGGCGTGGGTGCGGATGGCAAGCCGGGTGCGGGCCTTGTCGCCGAACTTGTCCACGCAGGCGGTGGCCGCGGTCAGGGCCAGGAAGCGAAAGAGGCGGCCGGTGCGGGAGGGAGGCGGCTCGAGGGCAAGCTGCTCGGGGGAGAGGAGCTCGGCGTGGGGGTCGGGATCGGCGTCGGCCGGGGGGTGGGTGTGAAGGCGCGATCGGGCCGCCCGGCGGGAGGGCCAGGCAACGGGGGCCGGGGCGGCGGCCGGCTGGAAGTAGTCCGGCAGATACTTGCAGCCGGGGAGGGCGTGCTGTGGGAAGGTCCCCTGCGGGGCGGGCGGCGTAAAGAAGGAAGCTGGCGACCGGGGGGGCAACGAGGGGGGGGGAGGGGCGTGGGCTTCCGCCGAGCGGTGGACCGGGCGGCCGGAATGGCGGCAAAGCGAGGGGGGAGCACCGGAGGAGGGGCAGGGCAAGGGGGAGGAGGAGGGGGCGGACGAGGAGGAGGGATGGAGGGAGCTGACGCGGGGCTGGTCCGGGCCGGGAAAGCTCCCGGGTGCCCCATGAGGCGGCCTCGGCAGCCGGGGCAGCGGAGGCGGGCCGTGTCCGGGGCCCTCCTTCCGCCGGGCCCGTGTCGCCGTGTCGGGAGCGGGCGGGCGGGGCCCGGCGATCGGGACGGGGCGTCGAAGGGCCGGCAGGGGGACCGGTCGGCCTTGTCCGGCCGCCCAGCCGCCATGCGGCGGGGGGCCGTGGTGTTGGTACGGCCGGGCGGCCGGCGAGGCCCCCCGCGGCCAGTCGAGCGGCTGCCCCGGCAGGGGTGCCGGCCGGGAAGGGGGTGGCGGCGGCGGCGGCGGCGGCGGCGGCCGGCGCCGTGGCTGTGGCACCGGCCCCCCGGGGGGGCCATCCCCGAGTGGGGTAACTGCCGGCCCGGTGGTGGTGGTGGTGGTGGTGGCGGCGGCCGCGCGCCGCCGGGGGGAGGATGGCAATGGGGGGGATCGGGCAAGTGCCCCACTGGGCGTCCCGGTGCCGGGCGGGAGCAGGCGCACCGGCGGCCCGGCTGGCCGGGGCCGCGGACGAACACCTTGCTGGGCGGCATTGTCCTCGGGCCGGGCCGCTGGCCGGTCCGTTGCCGGGGGCAGGCTGCCCGGCCGGTCGGGTCGGCTGGCGCCGGCCGTGTTGCCGACAGGGTGGCCGGTGTCTGTGGGCCAATCGGCCTCGGTCGGGTCACGCATGACGAAGCGTACGGTGGGTCGATGGCCGGGCGAAGCCTCCCCCGGGTTGCCCGGCGGCGGGGGTGGTGCCGGTTGCGGCGACATCCGTCGCGGAGGCGCGATCTGCCCCAGCAGCGGCGGCAGCGGCGGCGGCGGCGGCGACGGTTCCCAACTGCGCATTGAGGCGGGCCCGGCGCCAGCCGGCCCCCCACGGGGAGCCGGAGGGGCCGCCCTGCCTTGGCATTTGCCCCTGCCGGCTGCCGGCCCAAAGGTGGATTGGGGGCCGGCATCAAGGGCCAGGATGGCGGCGCCGGCGCCGGCGCCGGTGGTGGTGGCGGTTGCCTCCACAGTGGGCAGCTTCCGGGCCTGGCGGTCGTGGCCTCTGAGCTGGTATTGTTGTTGTTGTTGTTGTTGTTGTTGTAGTTGCGCGCGCGGCCCCGGACCCGGGGTCACCGAAGTCCCGGGGTCCGAATCGAAGTTCGGGTCCGGGTCCGGGTCCGAGTCCGAGCCCGACCCGGCATCCCACCCGCTGGGGCCCAAGGAATGACTGGCAGGCCGCACAGGAGTCGCCGGGCAGAGAGGGGGAGGGCGGGGGGGGGGGGGGGGGGGGGGGGGGGGGGGGGGGGGGGGGGGGGGGGGGGGGGGGGGGGGGGGGGGGGGACAAGGGCGAGGGCGAGGGTCGATGTGAGATTCTCGAGTGTGTATGCGCTTGCTCGCGCGGCCGGACCTGACGCGCGTGAAGCCGCGCGTGAATATCACCCACCCATGCCCGCTGGGGGTCGCGCGCGCGAGAGGCACTCCCCGGGCCCTTTTTCGCATGGGCCAGCCGCGGCGGTTTGGTTGGCCGCCAGAAGGCCCGCAGGAAGGACACACACACGCACACAGCCCAGGGGGCTGAGAGGCTCAAAACACTGGCCTCGGATGACAGTGCGCGCGGCATGGCCTGGCGTTGCGACACGCGCGCGCGCACGCCCATGCCCCCACATATTGCCGACATTTTGGCCTGCTCAGACCCCACCCCACAGATGAACCCGCCCTCGGGCGGAATGCGCGCCCCCGTGGCTCCTCCTCCGCCCGCTGCCGCGCCGTGCCTGCCTCACACATCTGGGCCCGCACAGGCCTGGGCTTTTCCGGGGCCGCGGACCGGAGGGCAGGGCAGGCCCCCGGCCCGGACACAAACACAGCCGCCGGGGGGGGGGGCCGCCCGGGTTGGCCAGTCGGGGAGGGGGGGGGGGAGGGCGAGGGAAATAACATGGCCTGGCGCTGAGCCACACCAAAATAACCCCCGCCCCAATAACGCGTGCCCCGCCCGTCGGCGGCGGTGGCAGGCCGGTCGCCAGGTGGTCCCTCCGCACGGGTGCCAGGATGTCGGGACCGTGGGCGGCCGAGGCCCCCCCCCCCCCCCGCCCCCCCCCCGGGCCCCAAGCCCCCGGGTGGAGACCCGCACTCAGCTGAGGGGGCGGGCGGACGGGCGGGCGGACGGGCGGACGGGCGGCGGAAGAAATGGAAGTGCACTCCGTTGGTACGTACGCTTCGGGGGACGCGTCGCGCTGGGAGCCGGCCCCGGGAGGACCGTTGGCAGGCACCGGGGTGCCCCCGGCCAGCGGCCCTCGACGGACATCGCCCGGTCCATCTGCCATCGCCCCTGGACGCCGGTCGGATGGCTGTGAAGGCCACAGGCTGGACGAGGGATGACCGGAGCCAAGATCCGGGCTGGGCGGCACCCCCAGCGGCGTCCGGCTCACAAGGTCCGAGAAGGAGGCGACCGGGCTCGCCGGTGAGGCGACGCCAGCCAGACGGTCGTCAGCCGGGGCCGGTGCCGGTGGAGTGCAGAGCACCGCCACCAACTTCGGAGAGTCGACCGGCGATCGGAGCCCCGGGAAGGGGTGTGGACTGGGGGCCGACATCCGGGCGCTGGCGGTGGAGCTGTGCCAGGGATGCACGAGCGCGAGGCAAGAAGGTTAGCCCCGACCAAGGGCACACCGGAGGCGGAGCAGAGGCGAGGGGGCGGGGGAGATCTTCAATTATTCAAGCAGACAAGGCCCCGCGAGGGTGGCTGTGGGCGGCGCGTCGGTCCGGGACACGGCGCCCAGGCTAGCAGGAGGCGGAAAGGGCAAACGACAAGCGCCGACGAACCCGGGACCCGTGTGGGCGCTGGCAAGGGGGAGGCGTGGACGACAACAACCAGGGGAGCGGGGAGGGAGGAGGAGGGCGAGAGGCGGGGACAAGCGAGCGAGCAGGGGGAGGTGTGCATTTTTGGGGGGGCTCGGAGGGGGGGACCCGCCCGGCCTGGGGTTTCCCTTTTAACTGGACACATGCCTGTGTGCTCCGAGCCGGCAGGGGGAGATGGGATGTGCGCGCGAGCGCCTCGGAGGGGGGAGGGGGCGGGGGGGGGGGGACATGAGAACACACCCTGGGTCTGCGAGGGCGAACTCGGGGGGACACACCGAGGCACGGGGCGTGGGCGTGCGAAAGCACGGTCGCAGAGGAGGGGTCTTTTTCACGCGCGCGCGACGAAAAACCCACACGGCATCATTGCACGGCCAGGGAAGGACCGGATGCCCCTTTACCGCCCGCCCCCCTCCCTCAGTACAGACACTGTTGCGCTGGTACACCCTCTTGTGCGCGGGGGCGCGGTGGTTTATACAGACCCATCAGCCAGCCACCGCCCGGGGGGAGCGGCGCCGCACACAAACATACACACGATGGGGCGAGAGAGAAGTGGGAAAGGGTGTGGTGGACCATGATGAATCCCGACCCCTGGGCAACCATGTGTTCAATTATTAATTGGAAAATCCCGTGGCATGTGGACACACACACATGGGAGATCCGTGGAGGATGGATCCCATGCGCAGGGTGTGTGGTGACCACAAGCCCCGGGGTGCGCATAGCAGGCATCGGGAGGAAGGAGAGACTCTCGAACATGAGAACGAGCGTCCCCCCGACCCCGGATGTCTGTGCGCGCGTGGGGACAGAGAGCGACTCGGGCGCGGGCCGCTGACCATATGCGCCCCCTCTCCCTCACGGAGACACTTCGGGGTCGGCCGAGGGGAACGCGGCGCGCATATGCCCGCGTGAGAGGGCAGAGCGACGGCCGGAGCCCGCACGGTGCACCAGAGGGGGCTCGAGAGAGGGGGGGGGCAAGAGAAACACATCGGGTGTGTACATGTGTGTGTGTGACGTCACGCTCTCAGCTGGAATCTAGAGAAGGAGGAAGAAAGGGAAGGTTAGCGGAAGGAAGGAGGGCAGGAGGAGGAGGGGGAGAGCGCGGTCGGGAGAAGACCGTCAGACAGTGTGAAATAACTCATGTACAGGTGCCCTGTGAGACACCTGTTTGGCTCGGTAGGTGTCCTAAGATTGTCGATCATGCGGATGGAAGGGAGAAGAGAGGGGGGCAAAAAGGGGGCGAGGAGGGGGAGGGACGGGGAGACGCACAGTTGAGAGGGACGGTACAGGGCCATTGAACAGGACGGGACCGTGTATGGCCCTTTATATACCCCCTGTCCGGCAAGAAACAAGGGCATGCCGCGTGCCGCAGGGGGGGGGGGGGCAGGGAGGCCAGTCCCCCGGGCCGACAGTCAACTAGCCTTGCAACAGCCTGGAAAGCCGCCGTTTCTCTCACCCAGGCACCCACCACGGCTGGGGCGACCTGGGCCCCGGGCACACACACACACACACACACACACGGGCATAGGCACAGGGATGCATGCCCCCAGGCAAGGTCACAGTTCGGGCCGTAGCACCCGCTCCCTTGGCCCCATCACTGGGGGCGCCCGACACGCGGAGGTCGAGACCGGACGAACCAGGCTCCACGATCGGCCCCCAGTGGCAGGGGGGGGGAAGGGGGGGCTTCTCGCCGAGCCACATGCCCCCCCACCCGTGTACCTGCGCAGTATGCTCACACCGCGACAAGGCCGCAGGGCCACACCCCGGGCCGGCACCGGCTCCGGTGGCACCCACCAGATGATAGCAGATCCATTCTGAGGGATTCGGCCCACACGAATTAATGGCATTCCCGGGTGGGGCCCCCGAGAAGGCTAGCCGTGTGGCATTTGCTTCATCCTCTAGTGAAAATGATCGCCGTTACTAGTTCCAGGCGTGGGACTTATTTGAATTCCCGGTTGCTCCGAGCCCCGGGCAGATGGGGGTTGCCCTGCCGGACATTAGCCGAGGAGGGGTCGTTGAGAGAGAGAGAGAGAGAGAGAGAGAGAGAGAGAGAGAGAGACAGAGAGACGGAGAGACAGAGAGACAGAGGAACCCGAAACGGGCCAGGGGGCAACAAAAGTAGGGCACGCCCGAAAGGCCCTCTCGGCATGACTCGGCCCGGAGCCCATCCCGCCGAAGGACACCCCGCTGATCAGGCAGCTTGACCTTTGTGCGAGCCGGGCCTGCACCTCCCCTCGCCCTCCTGATCCTCTCGCCGGACAAGATCCGCCCGGAGGAGCGCGGCCCGATGCGCCGGAGCGCCCCTGGCCGCTAGACAGGGCCCGGACGGCGATCGAGCGGACGCCCTTCTTCGGCAGCCTCCACCTGTGTTGGCCACCCCCCGGCCCGAGAGGCATTCCCCCCTTCTCCCCCAAGCTCCCCCTCCCACACGTCCATTCCCCTCCCCCTCCTCCCCCCCCCCCCCCCCCCCCCCCCCCCCCCCCCCCCCCCCCCCCCCCCCCCCCCCCCCCCCCCCCCCCCCCCCCCCCCCCCCCCCCCCCCCCCCCCCCCCCCCCTCCCCCCCCCCCCCCCCCCCCCCCCCCCCCCCCCCCCCGTTCTCCTGCCCACCCCCCCCCCCTTTCCCCCCACCCTGCCATCCCCTCCACCCTCGCCGGCCACCCCGGCCCCCCCCTCCCCCCCACCGCCACTGGCGCCACGGTCAGTGGCGCCCTGGGGCGCAGCCCCTCGCGGCCCACCCCCTTCAGAGCGGGCCTCTCACCCGGCCAAGGACGCCCCCTCCACCCCCCGGGCCTTTAGTCGCTTCCACACGCCACCCCCCTCAAGCGACCCCTTTCATGTGGGCAGCGACCCGGCCACGCCGCAATCTGCCCGCCGCGCCGGGCTCCACCCCACCCCCTCGACCGCAGGCCCGGCTGAGGCGACGCCTGCCCCGGAAATTGATGCCTTCGACATGTCCCCCCAATCGGACTTCCTCGGCCCGATGGGCCGGATGCTGATGCTGGACAGCGATGAGGGCGGCCACGGGGTGGATTCCTCCCCACCTGAGGACTTCGGCCCGAGGTGGCTTGCATCTGATGGCAGCCCGGCCCGGCATGATTCTCCATCCGAGGAGGCCTTCGTGCCGGCTCCGACTGCCCCGGTGGCGGTGGCCAAGAGGCCCGCCCCCCCGGCGACCGTGCCGCCCAAGCCGGCGCCCAGCCTCTCGGGCATCCCGCCACGCGGGAAATCCGCCCCTTCGGATCTGGCCCCGGTCCGACCCCCCGGGCCAAAGCCAGCCTCCACGAAGGCCGCGGTGCCGAAGGCCGAAGCCCGCCGGTCCTCCAGCCCCGTGGCCGCCGGCAAGTCTGCCCCACCCAAGACCATGCCGGCCAAGCTCGCCACCCCGACCACTCCCAAGAGCACCCCCGCCAAGCCCGCTGCCCGTGCGATCTCAGACGCATCGTCGGCCAGCTCGCCGGCCAAGCCGGCCAAGCAGACCAAGCCGGCCAAGCCCACCAAGCCGGCCAAGCCCACCAAGGGCCCAACCTCGGCAGGCACTCCGCCCGCGCGGAAGCGCCCGGCCAAGCAGCCCGCCTGCCCTCTGGTGGAGCTGGGCATGCCGGCGTTCGAGGCCCAGCCGGAAGGCTCAGCCGACTGGCCGCCCGCCCGCGCCACTGCCTGGGGCCAAGTCCAACAGAACATGAATGGTACGCCGTATATGTGTGTGTGTGTGTGTATGTGGGTGGGTGTGTGGGTGTGTGGGTGCACTTGCGCGGCATGCGGCGCGCCGACCGCGGACTAACGCCCTGCCTCCTCCGATAGCCTACTTCACGCGTTTCACCCATCCGAGCGTCGACGCGGCGGCTGGCCGCTGGTCCACCGGCGACACGCGGACCTTCCTCAAGGCCTTGCGAGTGCGTTGCCCGCCAGTGGGCCAGGACAAAAGGGGGGCCGGGGAGCAGGGACACAGGGACACAGGGACCCAGGGACACAGGGACACAGGGACACCGGGACCCAGGGACACAGGGACACAGGGATACCGGGACCCAGGGACAGGGGGGGGGGGCCGAGAGGACGCGCCGGCGGCTCGGGCAGGGCGAAGGCCCCGCCGACTTGATGCGATGACTGACCTCGACTCCGCGGCCCCATGGTGCCAGACCCTGGACCCGGCGCGCACCGGCAAATGGGGCTGCTTTGCGGCCAGCATTTTCCAGCTCGGCCGCACGGGGTCCCAATGCCGGGCGCACTACATGGCCCTGAAGAAACTCGGCGGCTATGGGCTCAGCACCAAGCTCAGCAGCACGATCGACTCGTCGGAGGTGGTCGACCTGGAGGCGGTGGCCCTCGGCCAGGCGGCCGCCGGCCGGGCGGTGGACAAGGAAAGCGGCGATCGGGATTTCGCCGCCGAGCTGGACGCCGTCTTTGCCGGGGCCGGTGTCTATGAGATGCTGATGAAGGAGCAACAGGCCAAGGAGCGGCGCCGAGCTCGGCCCCGGAAGCCGGCCACCCCCAGCCGGCCGCGTGCGACCACGCCCCGTGCCGCCCCGGCCAGCGAGCCGGACGCCAGCCCGGCCCCGGCGAGCCCGCCATCAAGCTCGCCCCCCTCGAGGGCCGGGCCTCGCCCGCCGGCCAGCAGCCCGGCACCCGAGAGCGCGGTCCGCGCGCACCCGGACCCCGACACCGACGTGCAAGCCCGGCAGCAGCCCGGGCCAGCGGACGGTCCCCTGCCGGGGTCGCCGCGGAAGCCCGGCGCCTGGCCCGGCACCCGGCCACCTCCACCAACCAAGGCTGCCACACCGGCGGCCCCTCGGCGGCCATACTCGTGCGTGTCGATGCTCGCCCTCGCCCCCCCCCCCTCCCTCCTCCCCTCCTATCGGGCGGCCGGGCATCTGATCTCCTGGTGGCCTGCCCCGCTGCATTGCTCTAACCTCCTGTCCGGGATGGACACCATTCGGCAGCATGATTTCGCTCTCGCCCCCGGAGGCAAGCACGCTGCCGGGGCCGAGCTCAGCCATGGCCGAAGAGCTGGCCATGCCGTGTCCTCCGCCGCTACTTTCTGCCGAGTCGCCCTCCGCCGGGGCCGACGCGCGCCTTGTGCTGACGCCACGGCGCCGGGTCCCGGAGAGCCCGGGCCGGTCGCGCGACCCGTCGCCCAGCCCGGCGCCATCGCCGGCCCGGGGCCCGACCGGGCCGCTGCCGGGCGCCAGCCAGGCCGCCATCGTGCCGCCCGGGTCGCCCCGAAAGACCCCGCGCCTGGAGCCGGCTGGGCCGGAGCCCACCGATCTGGCGGTGCTGGCCCCGCTGGCGCTGGTGGCCGCCCCCGGCGATGAGCTGATGGCCGATCGAGAGGGCGCGCCGGGCGCCGGCCCGGATGGGGAGCCCCCCCGGCGCGCGGTCTTCCGCAAGCTGCGCTTCCTGGACGACGAATCGATGCCCCAGGTGGACCTGGCCCCGGTCTTGGCCCCCAGCATGCCGGAGGTGGAGCCGGCCACAACTCTGGCCCCGGGGGTGGGCTTTGGGCCGGTGGGGCTTCTGCCCCCGGCCCCCCGGGGGAAATGCCCGGGCGTGACGGTCCCCGCCATGGGCATGCTGGAGGATCTTTTTGGCAGCCACTGGCGCCGGGTTCTCGGGCTGTCGGCCGGGTCCGTGTGTCTGGGCGGGGCCGGCATGCCGCCCCGGCTGGAGCAATGCGTGGACTTGATGCACATGGCGCGACGCCTGTTCACTCAGTTCCGGCACGCGGTCCGGTCACCTGGTGACCTGGCCCAGCTTCGCGCGCGGCTCGACACCATGGACGTGTCGCGGGTGCGTTTCTGCTGTGCTCCGGCACTTTTGGCCTTGTCTTTTGGTTGCCCTATTCCGTCCCGCCTCGCTCTGTCTTCGGGGGGCACTCACACGCATGCGCTTGGGCTGGCTGGCTGGCTGGCTGGCACAGAGCCGGATTACCATGGACCTACTTTTGCGCGACCCGGGGATACGCTTTCTGCTGGCCGGCAAGGGGGTCTGCCCGGCAGCCGGCGGCGCCTGCCCGGCCAGCCCCCCCGAGGTGCCCTGCGATCTGCATTTGGCCAACTGTCTGGTTGGTTTCCTGACCCGGCCGCTGGGGTCGCTGGTGGCCGAATTGAACACCGTTTAGAATTGCCAACGCACAATGGCTGTGTCGCCCCCTGTGCGCACAGAATAAACGCCGGGCGCGCGCGCCCGAAAGTACACACAAGCATGTTGCCGGTGTACATGCCTCCAGTCTGGGGGAGGGGGGGCATGTAATCGCATCCCGCACCCGCGTACCCGGGGCCAGGGCCGAGCATATCCGGTCCATTGGTAGCCATGCCGGCATCCTTGGCCTGGTTTCTGCGCTGGTTCCGCAGGGAGGGGGGGGGGGGGGGGGGCGAGAGAGACCCAGGAGGCAGGTATGGCGGGGCCAGGGGAGAGCACGCATACTTTCAAGGGCCACCACCCTCGACGCGGTGTCTCCCTCGGCCGAGCCCGTAAGACAGAGATCTCCTGGTGCATGCCTCCTCCGCCCTGCCCCGTGCACCGCACTGCGCTGCCCTCCCTCTCCGTCTCCTCCCTCTCTCTCCCCCTCCTCCCTGGACCTCCTCCTTGTCTCTGACTCCCTGCAAGCCTCGATGACTGCCGCCCCGGCCCCGGCCCCGGCCCCGGCCCCGGCCCCGGCCCCGGCCCCGGCCCCGGCCCCGGCCCCGGCACTGATCCCCCCCCCGGCCGGTGAGGACACCGGCTGCTGCGGCCCGGATCCGGAGGCTGAGCGCCTTCTCCGGGAGATGGATGCGGATGATGCGGCGACGCCCGTGCTGGGGGGCCGGTTCATGATCGGCCCAGCCGGCGGTCGCCTAACCATTGGGATTTCCTTCTTTCTCATCCTGGCCATGTCAGCCTTGTATTGTGCGACGGTGTACGTTGCGTGTCCCCTCTTCTTCTTCTTCTTCTTCTTCCTCTTCCTCTGCCCCTTTTTATCCATTCCCCTTTCCCCCCGGACAGGCGCGAGGGCATCCTTCATTTGGGCTCACATCCCTTCCTGGCCCTCTGACTCTCGCTCGCTGGGTCTTTGTGGCGAATTTGTCGATTTCCCATAGCCTGCCGGACTTGATGGCGTATGGCCGCCTGGCCGTGGTGGAGATTGTCCTCTTCGTGCTGCATAGCCTCACTTGCATCCTGTCGCTGGCGATTTGCTCGACCACCGACCCGGGGACCCTGCCGGCACCCATCGGCCAGGCCCGGCCACCCGCCAGGCGGGGTGACCCCCCCTCGGAACCCCAGAGCCATCTCGATCCCGAGAGCGGGGACACTGCAGGCCCCTCGCCGAAGGGCCTGCCCCCTCCTGGGGGAGCTCACTTTGCCTACTACCAGTTTGTCCTGCCACGTGTGCATGGCAAGTCCGGCGAGGTGACCCTCTCGATCCGCACCAAGTGGTGTAAGTATTGCGGACTGTACCGGCCGCCGCGGGCATCGCATTGCCACGACTGCAAGCGCTGCGTCGACCGCTTCGATCATCGTACGTATACCGCCAGCCTTGCTCCTTCCTGGCTCGGCCCTGTGACATGGTTTTGCTGACCCCCGGCGCTCGGACGTCAGACTGCCCCTGGATCAACAACTGCATTGGCCGTCGCAACCATCGGTCTTTCACCCTTTTCACAACGGCCACTTGCCTGCTGGGCGTCCATGGGATCGTGGGCCTGGTCTTCCAGTACCTCTTCCTGACGGACGCCCTGTACCCGCCTCCGGGGATGGGGTCTGGCTCGGATGCTCGAAGTCCGACGATGTGGTTCATTTCCGCACGCCCAGGCAGGTGCGTCTGGCTTGGGGTCCCCCTCGTCGGCCCGGTGAATGCTGCCTGCCGTTTGTCTCCTTCCTCTTCTTCTTCGGCCTTGCTATCTCTAACCCGCAATGGTGATGCGCTTCCCTGCCCCCCCCCCCTCCCCCCCTTCGCGGCCGGTGTTTGGGTGCGGGTCTGTGTGTGTTTGTATTTTCCCCGGGCCGCGACGACTGGGACAGTGTCGTCCTCATCATCGTTGGGGCCATCATCACCCTGGCTCTGGGTGGCCTGGCGCTCATGCACTGGTCGCTGCACATTCACAATCAAACCACCTTCGAGCATGTGCGTTTCGCCCTCCCTTGCTCCGTGTCGATGAGCCCCTCACTGACCCTCGGGAGCATGGCAACAATCCCCCATTCTGTGCGTCTGCGCGTGCCGCTTCTGTGTGCGTCCGTGTGGCTGCGGGCGCATCGGCGTCCGCGGATGTGTGTGTGTGTGTGTGCGCGCGCGCGCGCGAATATAGGCCCGCACCAGTGAGACCATCAACCCCTACACCAGCCGGTCCCGAACCAGCGGCAAGGTTGGCCTCCTGGGCGTGTTTGCCAACGTTTGGCAGGCGCTCTTCTCGCCGATCCGCCCCAGGTGCGAGGTTTTTGGCTGGCCCTTCCGTGCTGGACTTCCTTTGCTCACATTTGCCGACACAGCTACGTATACCTCCGATCTCTGGGTCCCGGGCCAGGACAAGCACACCACGGGGCATAGCTGTCCCCTCCTTGCCTCGGCCTTTCTCTTTCTCTCTCTCTCTCTCCATCTCTTTGGAGGGGGCTACTTGCAGTTGACCGCTGGCGGTTGACCACGGTCCCCCCCGCGCCCTCCCTTCCAGGATGGGGGGGGGGGGATCGATTTGCCCTTCTTGCTTCACAATTTATTTACCTTTTTTTTCTTTCCTGACATTCGCCAGTTGCTAGAGGTGTGGACGGACAACCATCACTGGCCACCGGGGGAGCTCTTAGACCGGGGCACGATATCGACGTCCATGGCGGAGGAGATCACTTCGGCTGTCGGTGTCAGGAGGGGCGGGGGGGGGGGGGGGAAGGGACATCCTTGACCTCCTCTTGCCGGGGGATTCCCGAGCGGCAGGGCGAGGAGATTTGGCCGGCCCGAAGCTTCCAGGGAAGGGAAAGGCGGAGAAGCAGTCGCGCTTTGTCAGGAGAATGGGATCAAACCAAATGAGCAGATGGAGGGGCGGGGAGGAAGGGGGAGCGGCGCACTGGTTCGCTCATCGAGAAGCTCCTTCGCCTCGAGGAGGAGCTTGAAACGGGAGCTCAGTTCGGAACTGGGCAGCGACATGAAGGCTGGGAGGGTGGGTGGGGGGGGGGGGGTCAGGGCTGGTGCCAGCAGGCGACGAATGGGTGGAGGGTGCCGAGAGAATGCGCACCGTTGAGTTCGCCGAGCTTCTCCTCGTACGTGGAATCGAGGAGGGCAGACGGCTCAATCAGGGGGATCTGGGTCGGGGAAAAGAGAGGGAGGAGTGGTGGGTGCGTTAGGGGGAGGCCGGAATGGGCAGCAAGACAAAGAGGACGGTCGGGCGGACGGGGGCAACACACGTCGGGGGCAATGAACTGAGGCTTGGCAGGGGGATTCATGACAGGTGGTGGAGGGAGGAAGAGGGGGGAGAGGAGAGGGAGGGAGAAAAAGAAGGGAGGGAAGCTGGAGTGGATGGGACTGGGACTTGGGCCAGGGCGATGATCGACCAGGAAGGCGGGGGTCCAAGAAAAAAAAAAAAAAAAAAAGGGCAGGGCCGGCGATCAGGCCCAGGAACAGGGAGGGGGGCGGGAGCGGGGGGAACTCAACAACGCATCTCAGAACTGACGGCGGCGATGGTCACGGGTGCATCCGGGAAATGTGGCAGGGCTCCCACGGCCTCAGTCTTGTGCCAAGAGAGCGCGGGTCTTTGACGGGAGACATAACGGAAATGTGCTTCTGCTTCGGTGTTGCCTGGGCCGGAGGGGGGGTTATCGCCGGCCGAAGATGATGCGGCCGCCAAGAGACAGGGTAACTCGGCCTGGGGCGAGCGAGCGGACGAGCGAAATAAAAGGCATAAATAGAAGGGGGGGGGGGCCCGAGAGGAGGTCCACGAGCAGGGGGCATCCACAGACTACACAGGTACTTCGGCGATGCCCTCGCATGCTTTTCGACACCGGCCGCCAAGGCCTTTGCTCTTGGGAGGCTCCGGGAGGGAGTCGTCACTCCTTTTCGACCTTCGGGCTTGGTCAATAGGCAGGTCTGAGAGATCTCCGCGTGTGTGTGTGTGTGTGTGTGTGCGTGTGTCCGCCCGCTGGGCTCAGGGCCGCGGCCTTGGCCTGCATTCTTCCCGGTAGGAATGCTATTAAGAGTGGCGGGCCATCACCCAAGTAGCAGGCCAGTCCGGCCTGTAACTCAATGGGCATCGGGCGCCGTTGGAGCTGGGCTCCCGTCACCAACCCCGGGCGGGCTCCCTCGTTGCGAGGATCACCGTAGAGTCCGGCTGACATTTCGATCGCGGGCATGTGATCCGATTTGGCGGCCTGAGGCTTCTTTGTGTTGGCCCTGTCCGGGGGTATTAATATCGGAAGAATATTATTCCTTCTCTCGACTCCTCCTTCCTTTGCCCGCCCCTTGTTCAGAGAGTGATGGGCCCGACTCGTGGCCACACCCACAGACAAGAAGGAGCAGCATGCCTCTCTGGAAGGGCTGCCCCGGCCAGCAGCCTCCCGCCACGGCCGCAACGCAGGCCGACCCCGGTGGGGGGGGGGGGGGACCGAACACGTCGGGTAATCCATGTTCCTGCGCTAGTGTGGTTCTCAAAAGTGAATACACAGCCACGCCCACGCGGCCGAGGGCTCTGCTTCAGGGGCGGGGGGGGCGGGTGGGGTAGAGTAGTGGTGGCGACGGTGAGGGGGGAGACACGCCTTTTACCGCGGGCCGGACGCAGCTGGAGAGGCCTGCCCCTCCCGCCCGGCGTGGGCCGAACCTAGGCAGCCCCGGCGTCTTGGAGGGGGCGGATCAAAAGAGAACAACGCCCGCGCGAAATGGTCGCACTCTGTGTGTGTGTGTGTGTGTGTGTGTGTGTGTCTGTGTGTGCGTGCATCTCCCCTGCCATGCAGAGGACCCTGGCGCGAATAACCGCCCCGCCAGTACTGTATTCCCGCCCCCCCCCCCC